CTATGGGAATGCCGTGGCGATTGCGCTCGATTGTATCTGTTTCTTCGCTCTTGGCTGTTCGTTCTTCTCTTTTTTGTTTTAGTTTTTTGTATCTGGATAATGATCCATTGTTTGCATCTTGAACTTGTTTTAAATGTGCCTGCCCCAGCCTCCATTCCAGTCCATTCCATTCCACTGCCACTTCCATCTTGTGGTCGTCTGGCTGCCTGGCTGGCCTGCCTGTGCCTGCCTCATCATCGTCAATGCTGCCACAAGACCATATCTGGAACTGGCTCAAGTATTTCCCCAGCAATTCCTTTAATTAAAAGTTATTTCTAAGCTTATTAGAATATGTCTTTAAGATTGCCAAAGGAATTCCGAGTGGGCAAAGGTATTCCAACCGAAAGGCGCTGCTGCAGGACGCGTAACACTTTCAAATGTTATTGAAAAACCTTTCCCCCCCCTTTCAAAATGTAAATTATTCCCTTCTGGTAATCAAATTCCCAAAGATCATGGATCATGACTCAGAAGAACATCTCAACCATACCCAAAAAAGAACAGGGATTCCGTCTTCTCATGAACTGATCTGATCCTTCAGGGAATCTGAAAATGTGTTAAGATATGCAGGGGAGATGTCATCACGAACGTTGAGACCAGAACGCGAACATTGAGAACGATTTTTGCATTTGGGGGCCAATAATTTCAGGAATTGACACAAACTAAATAAATCACTCAGGCAGCAGCAGCAGCGGCAGAAGGATCCCATACCCATACCAATTCCAGCAGGAGCATCGTCATCATCATCCCCAAGGATCGTGCAATACTTGTTGGCTGTCAGCGAGGATGGGGATCGAACCACAGACCACTCCTAAATGACCCATTGTGTTGTGTTCTTCCTAAACAATTGTTTTCTCTGAGACTGAGACTGACATTGGGATTGGGTTTTGTTTTGTTTTGGTTAAAAAGAAAAAATCGATCGTTGGTATCGTCGCTGAAACCGATCCGATCCGATTCGATCCCTGTCGCTGCGACAAATATCACGCATGAATATTTAAAAGTTTCTCTCCCTGTTTTTTTTCCGCATAAAACTGAAAGGTTTTCGAGAAATTTATGACCTCTACTGTTCCGCAAAAAAAAACAAGGCTGAAAACAATTCCTAGCAAATCAGTTATGATGGGTCTTCAAGAGAAGGCACTGGAGGACAGAGGGGGCTCTTATGTGCATTGATTTATTGCAGATAGTGTTCTGGTTTTCTGCGATAAAGCGATTGCCATCAGACGACCGACCGACCATCATCTATATAGTAAATCTCTGTGTTCGTTATCAGTCATTAAACGATTATCTTGCAATCGTTCAAATTGTTTTATTATGAAAGAAAACGATGAATAATACTCGCCACTCGCCAGACCCTATAGCGATAGGGGGATAAGCCATATGGTACTCCCTCCCTTCCTACCGATTCGATTGTTTGCTTTGCTTTGGATTTATGATTAAAACATGACTCGTTTATATTCATAAATCAGTCATTAGCTATCAATTGCTGGTTTGATTGATTTACTCAATGCTTTTGATCTTTTTGCCTGGTACCCTGGTTCTCTTTTTTTTGTCGAGATTAGATTTCATATTATTTATAGAACTTTTATAGAAGAACTATAGTCTGCTCTGTGATAAGCTGTAGAACTTTGTTGGACGTTGTGTTGGATCAGGTTAGTTTTATAGAGAAAAAGACAGCTTTGGCAGAGATATATGGGTTCAAGGGAATATGGAATGGATGATAAAGGTAAGAATTGTCTGGAAATCTAAGAGTTCTATGGATTTGGAGCTTTTAAGACCTTTTTTACAGCAGGGATTTTGAATTTGTAAGCGTCATGCACACGCAATGTATGTTGTTTGGCAAGCTCTCTTTGCCAGCCCGTTCCCTCTCCTTTGAACACTTCCTGCAAGCATTTCTACAACTCCCATTGATTGATCCGCCATATCGATCCCCATTTAAAGTCTATCTTGAACTCGCCTTCATTCATTTATTCCACTTGAATTTCCACACATTTTGCAGCTCTAATCATTGGCAATTCTTTACCATTCAACGATTCATAGCAACTTAATCTACATCTAGTCGCAGACAGAAGCTCCTCTATGCGCCAGAGCTGCTGTCAATTGAGTGGGGCAACAGATACAAACAAAAATAATATCTACAGATACAACAACTCTGTTTAATGGCAGGCCACGACGTTAGAGATCGGCTCTGAGGGGCTCTCCGTTTGTAGAAATTTAAATACAAACAACTCCTCAAGACGCTCCTCAATGCGAGGCTGGCGCTAAATCAAACGATGAACACGAACATTGCCATAATGACGACACTGCTGCAGACCCCCGGAGCCCCCCCGGAGCCCCCTCTCCTCTTTAGAGAAGTCAAATTATATTGGAAAATTGTTTGCGCATGCCCCCAGATACCGTTTTTCGAACACTTGTTGAGAGGATCATTCGAGTGCTACTTGCTACAAAAAAAAAATTACCATCGCTGGAGCCGTGATTCCCGCGACACAGAAGCAGAAGCCACAAAACGTTCATCAAAAAGTGCAAATTTGTGGCAGCTATTTCTTGGCTACCTCTCCTTTCATAGACCCAAACACACATTCCATACAATGTCTTTCTGCCACATACGAGTACGAGTCGCGTACGCGGCAGTGTCTGATGGTTGAACAAAAGTCGCTTTGGTCACGACTCCTTCCCATCGAAGAGAAGTCTTCTGGAGGAGCAGGAGGCGGTGCTGGTGCAGGGCTTTTTCTGGCTTCCAGTGAGTCACTCCTCATGCAACAATTGTTGCGTTATAAAATGCGAATGATCGCATACTGAGGGGCAATCGACTACTGCGGCTACTGTGGAAAATGTTGCTTTGCCGTCGGGATTTTGTATCTTTAGAAACGATTTTTGGCCAGGCAATGAAGATGGGAGACGCTTCGAAGAGAGAAAGATGTGAGTTCCTAGAAAGATGGTTGGAAAACTGGATGATTATGGGGGAAAGAGAAGAGATGAAAGAAGAGTTTCGTAGGCCACCATATATGGATTTTCCAAGCCTTAGTCCGCGGCAATCTATAGGTAGATATCTCCATAGATTGTCCCTTCCCTCGTTTGACAGATAGATCACTTAATGGATAGAAGGATCTTTGAATTGTTAGCTGAAACTTCCCTTATGATAGATCTTAAAAACTCCATCAAACACTCACAGACTTAAATGTGATTCCACATCACAGATTTTATAGCTTCTCTAAAGTCAGTAACGTCGAAAACGTAGCTTGATAAAAATATTAACCAATTTTAACTAGAAATTTTTCAACAATTTGTCTCCAAAAGGAAACTTTTCTTTTTTTTTGTCATCAGAAAGTGAACTTTTGAAATGCCTTGCAAAATGCTTAAAATTAATCTGTTTGTATTGATCTTGTATCTGAATCTGGGCTTCGCTGATGTGGAGCCAGTGGAAAATGAAGTTGCCACTGCCGCGCCGCTGTACACCATCAGCGGGTACATCTTGCCGCCGGATCGCAAGTTGGGCCTAACCCTCCGCTGGCTGTCGGAGATCACGCTGTCGATCAACGGCGGCCAGTACAAGGGATTCGTGCGCACCGACGGACACTTTCTGATCAGCGGAGTGCCGTACGGGAGCCATGTGGTGGAGGTGCACCATCCGGACATCTACTTCCGACCCGTGCGAGTGGAGATCAATTCGCGGGGCAAGTACCGGGCTCGGGAGGTGAGCTATGTGGATCCCGTGACCGTTGTCCAGATTGCCTATCCCCTGCGGCTGGCGCCACTGAAGCGTCGCAAATACTTCAGGGAACGCGAACAGTGGCGCTTCGTGGACTTTGTCCTGCATCCCATGATCCTGGTTATGCTGGCGCCCGTCCTGATGCTCCTGATCGCCAATCACATCATCAAGGATCCCCAAACGAAGCGCGAGCTGGACAAAATGCAATTTCCAAATGTCCCCAACAATATGCCGGACCTCAGCGACATGCTAACGTCTCTGCTGTCGGAGAAGCAACGCCCACCCCCACCACCACCCCCTCCAGAGAAGCCATCACCCAAGAAAATCTGCAGCAGTCCAGCGACAAAGCAAAACAAGAAGAAACGTTGAAGAAACCCCCCCCCCTGCCGCTGCTTTCACAAATAAAGATTCCGTTTGGTGTAATGTTCATAAAAACTTGTTTCTTTTCTTTTTCTTTTTTTATTGGATCACAATGTTTTCTTTTTCTTCAAATTTCATAACTCTTTGCAGAGAGATGTGGCAGCCCTGACAAGGGCTTGTGTGGTTTTTCTCTAACAACAAAAACCCACCAAATGGTCAGCCATTCCAAGCCATAGTTTTTCAAGGATCCCAAGTTTAATATATCCTGAAATGAAGAGAAGAGAAAGCGAGTTTTAGTCGAGGGTTTTCATCTATATCAAAGCTTATAGAATACATTAATGACGGAACAGCTGACGCTGTCAAAACCTTGTTCCATTCCCACTGATTCCCATTTACCCCAGTAGCAGTTGCTGCATTCCATTCCCACTTGTTCCCTTTGTATTCTATAATTTTTTGCTTGCAATTCTTGAATAATTACCTTGAAAAAGTAGGCCTTAGGGCTTGCTGAACGTCTTGGGGATTCAATCCCCAACTGCCGCCTGGTATCTTGATTGAGTGAATGATTGGACTATTCGCTACCTCCTCTCAATCATTGTCTTCATTATAATCGTTTCGTGATACCGAATACACATCTCCATATCTCGGTGGTGTCCTTTTGCATCCTGTCGCCAAAGTGTCGTCCAAGTGGCAGTACTTTTGACTCCTGATTCTCTCTCTTCTCTTCTCTCTGAATGGTTGCCGCAGTCCGCCCCCCCCTAAGAAACGCAGTGGCCGCCGCCCAAAAAGTGCATGGGGGTCTTTGGGGGTGTGGCCGTTTCGGGGGGGAGGCGGCGTGTGGGCAACGCGCAGGCAAAACCAAAAAAATTTGTGTTTAAAATGCTTTTTGTTTGCGCGAAAACAACGAAAAAACGAGGCTAACGAGAGCGTTTTACGGAACGGTCCGGTTTGCGGCCGAGAAGCTCCAGCTCTTAGGCGGTCTTCTCCTTCTTCACGCAGAACTGTCGCAAGGCCGCCAGCGAATTGCTGGCGCTTAGATTCTCCGGAGACTCGCTACCGCCGGCCACGGGCAGGACTCCCCCGGTGGCAGCGGCTGCAGCGGCGGCCAGCTTGGCTCTCGTATTGGCTGCGGCCCCGCCGCCACTGGCCCCCAACGAATCGAACATCGAGGACAAAGCATTCAGGGAGTCACTGGGATACTTTTTGTTGCCCTCGCTGCCGTCGTACGACTTGTGGCTGGAGGCTGGAGACTTGGGTGTGGCCGAACGCTGGCTGTCCGCCGGACTACGCGGCGGCAGGAGCCTCGACTGCGGGCTCCCTGCCACCGAGGGGGTCTTGGGCGAGGCCCGCTCCACATTGTTGTTGTTGTTGTTGTTATTGTTGTTGGCAGCGGAGGAGGCGGTGTAGCTGCCGTTGACCAGGGTGGCCTCCATTTTGGGCGACGGCATGGCCGTGTCATCGTTCTGCTCGTCGCTGATCTCAGACTTGATCTCCATTTTGATGGCCTCCTCCTGCTTGATGCTGCCCACGGACTTGCCGGCCGAAGACTCCTCCATGGCGGAGGCGGAGGCCATCAGCGGCTGCTGCTTCTCGGGCGTTGGGGCATCCAGACGTGGCCTGGCCGCCTCCGCACTGCACTCGCTGCCGCTCCGCTCGCTGCTCGTGTACCGATAGTGCTGATAGTACGGATCATTCGTGTCAATCAGGGGCTTATTGTAGTCCACCGTCTCGTCGATGCCGAGGCGTTTCAGGATGCTGCTGGCCACGGGGGAGGTGTTCTTGGTGGACGAGTTGGAGGGACTGCTCGCCGGGAGGCTGGCGTGCCGCGGCGGCGTATCAAAGCTGGTGGTGAACATCTGCTCGATGGCACTCAGTACCGAGGAATTGCCCGGCTTGGCATTGCCGTTCTTCTGCTCCAGCAGCTCGGGCGACTTGTTTTTGGCCAACAGCTGAGCGGCAGCCACCTTGGCGATCTCCTCCGGGGACTTCACACCCGTTATGTACTGCCGCATGCGTTCCGCAAACAAAGCGGCATCGTTTTTGTCCCCTCCGCCCGGTCCGAGGCCGGGCTTGCCTTGAACAGCACTCTTTTCCGCTGCCAAATCGTCCTGATTGCCCGCCCCGCCGCCCTTCATTTCCAGGAGTTTCCTCACCGGCAGGGATTTCTCCCTCTTCTTGGGGGCCGGCCTTTTGCGGGCGCCGGCATTCTGGAGCAGCGGCTCGGCATAGTGATTGTTTTTGGCCATGTGATTGCTCAGGTCGCCGAGACTGTTGAAGGCCTTGTCGCACACCTTGCACGTGAGCACGGCGCTCAGGGTGCGGCTCTCCTCGGAGCTGAGGCTGTTGTTGTGGTTGTCCTTGGAGTCCGCATTGGCGTTGGCCTGGTTCTGGGACTTGATGGAGATGCTCTGCTCCTGGGAGAGGATGTTCGTGTAGTGCTGCGTCTCCTGCATGTGCTTGGTCATCTCGCCGAGCGAGCGGAAGCTCTCGCCGCACCGCATGCACTTCAGGATCTGCATGGCCTGCTCCACGCCCTTCCCCAGCCACACGTTCTGGCCGCGCACCAGCTTCCGGGGCAGCGGCGTCGGGGGATCGCCGCGGTACTGAAACGCGTTCTTCACGTTCGCCGAGGGGGAGTGATTCGCCTGGGAGCCGCCGCCGCCCCCCTGCTTGCGCATATTCTGGTGGTTCTGCGGTGGCGGCGGTGGTGCCGGATGGTGGTGCTGTTGGTGGTGCTGGTGCTGGTGCTGGGGGGGATTGTTGCTCGGCAGATTCCCGAACGGTGGCACATTCACGCCGCAGTGTTTGCTGTCCTTCATGTGGGTGGTCAGGGCCTCCAGGGTGGGGAAGCTCTGCTTGCACCACACACACCGGAAGACGGAGCTGGCCACGCCCTTGTTCTGCCAATGCGATTGCCAGATGTTGTGGCGGGCCTTGGTGACGCCGCCACCGGAGGCGGGTGTGGCACCTGCTGCTGCACCAGATCCTCCCTCGGAATTGTGGCTATTGTTGGATCCCTGCTGCTGCTGCTGTTGTTGTTGCTGCTGCTGCTGCTGCTGTTGCTGCTGCTGTGCGGGACTCTTTGGCGGTGCTGACTGTGCGGGCGGTGTGGCCTTCGACTGATGATGATGATGATGATGCTTCTCCTTGTGTCCTTGGGCGCCTCCCTTCACAATGTCCGACATCTTCTCGAGGGGATCCACCACCAGATCGCTTTTGCCATTCCAGTCGGGAAACTGTCCGGCGCGGAAAATATTGGCGGCCGCCACAGCCGCCAGATAGGGATTCACTCCGGGCATCAGTTGGCTGGCAGTGGGCGGCGCCGGCGTAGGCGAAGGAATCGCCGGAGGACTCTCCGACTTGAACATCTTCTTCACCTGGATGTGGCCCAGCTGTGGCTCGGCGTCGTGGCCGCGTTTCCGTGTGCCCACCGACAGATCCAGGGGATTGTTGGCCCCGTCATCGAAGTCCTCCTCCTCCTCGGAAGCTGGCGGCTCGGCGGACTCCGCCCGGCCATAAAGATTCGTGCGAAAGTCCAGCGCCTCCGAGTGATTGCTGGAGGCCGTGGGCGATGCTTGCGGTGGCAGCTTGAACGGGGCCGCCGCCTCATTGGGCAGGGGCAGGGGCAGGCGGGGTCCTGCGGCCGCCGCCGCAGCCAAGGGGAAGCCGTACTGCTGTGCGGCCGCGGCCACCATATGCAGATACGCCTCCATGGAGGGGGGCTGTGCGGGCAGGTTCTGCGGCACGGCCGGGAATGTCGAGTGCATGGATGTGGCTGGCATCACACCCCCTCCGCTGTTGTCCCCGCGCTGCCCCCCATTGTCGGAGGAATTGGATTCGTGCGAGGGACACCGCTCGCTGGAATTGGCCGATTCCGTGGAACGGGGACGAGCTGTGGGCAAAGCGCTGCAAAGGCAAAGAAAGGGGGAGGAAATTAGTTAAAAGTATAATTTGGAGATATTCTAGGTCCTCTAGGGATTCTCAATGAGTGTTTTAAAGATTACTAATCATCATTTGAAACTATCTTCCTGGTAAAACAATCTTCTATCTTTTGTTTCCCTTAAGATGTCCTCATTTACATCATATCACTCATCAATCAATCTACAAAGTACACTTTTAGAGCTTTCTCCTCTCCCCATCAAAGACTTTCACAAGCCCAATGGTTCCTCTATAAAAAAAAACCCCACCATAAATTGGATAAGCAATCAAGAGCATAATATTGGAAATCTGCCCCACATCCCCCCCCCCTCCAAATATGTTTATATTTTGCGGTAAATCATAAGCCCCACCGAAACCGAACCGCAGGAACAAACCCCAACAACAATGGCAACAATGCCAAACATATGTCAACATTTCGATTTGTTATTCAAATCTCAAAAGGCGCCATAAACCAAAATGAAAACAACAAACAACAACAACAAAAAAAGCAAAAGAAAAAAAATGAAACTGTGTCTGCCGTTTGGAACACAGCTGTGGGTTCCATCAGTCCATCTGTCCCTCCAACGACGATATACGTTCCACTGCCGGTCTGTGCCGCTATCAGTGATCTACGATCCACTGTCCCTCTCTCCATCCACGTTCCACTGTCCCTCTATCCATCCACGTTCCACAGTCCATCTGTTCTGCCCATAGCCCGATATACGTTCCACAAACCACCATTGCTTCGCCGCTTAATGTTCCACTATCCGTTTGTCCCCTCACCCTCGCCCATACACGTTCCACTGTCCATCTGTCCACCATTGTCTGTCTATCCCTCTCTGATACACATTCCACTGCCTCGTACGTCCCCTCCCTCGCTCCAGCGACTGCCTAACGCCGCTCTATGGGTCGTAAAACTCTATATTGGAACAATGGCGTTTAATTCGAGATTTGAGGCCTGAGTTATGAGCAGAGACCAGAGACCGACCCCCGAGATGTTCATAATCGTAAGCATCTCCTCAGAGATCTGAGATCTGCGGCAATTATTATCATCTGGCTGTTTGTTGCTGGGCCATAGACACACATTCCGCATAACAGTTTGCATAAATTAATTGGCAATAAAAAAAAAATTAAAAACCGAAAAAACCGAAGGAAAAAATATGGAATTTGATTTCCTAGAGTATATTTACAATCGAAAATGGTAACACACATATAACATTTTTTATGGGCGCGAGAGTCGGTGAATGATTGCCTTGATTGACTTTGAAGTATATGCAAAATGGTTATAAATTCTTTGATGATTAGGCACTGTATCTGTATCTGTATCTGTATCTCTATATGTAATATCTGTGTGGGCGTCTGCTGGCGGTGTGTGTGTGGGGCTGATTCCATGGCGGAAATCACTGAACAAAAGCGGCGTTAATGTGACTTGATTTGAATGAACAAAATACTATAACGAAAATATAAATATGTTTCTTCTGTTGTCAACAATTTGTCAGGTGTTCTATTGTTTAAGAAGCGATCGCTCAAACAGCAAAAAAAAACAAAAAAAAAAAAGACTTCTTTAAACGGAATTAAGTTGTTCGAAGGAAAACGTTTGTCAAAAGTTCCCTAATTGATGGATAGTACATAGAAAAACAAACGGCAGATCCAGACTATAGACAATATTGATTGGTTCGGTGTTCAGATGATTCATATAGGGGTACACCTGTAAGCCCAGGCGGCGTTTTATGACAGCATATCATAGATACAGATACTTATTACACACCGATCGCTCACAGCTAATTAGCCATCCATCCAGATTGCATTCAACGATTAAGCCCGCATATTAAAGCCATTGCTGTGGCAGTTGTGTTGCTGTTGTGTTTTGTTTTCTTGGCAACAAGTTTTCCTCATAGCAATAGCATATCATAATCGGAAATCTCGTTATTCGATTAAGCTTAAATCACAAATGATTTATACGCAACTTCTCTCCTCTCGAGTGCAGTTAATTACAGCTTGGAATTGTCTCATTAATAATCGACAGCGAGAGAGAAAGAGAGAGAGTTACATGGTTGCATCTATGCAGCCACGACTTTCATGGGGAAGGAATGGGATACAGTGCGTAGAGTTAGTATATACACGAATGTTTGGAGGTGATAGCAGGGCTTCTGCCATGTTTAATTTGGGAAAAAAAGGATTTTTAATTGCTGCGTTAGCATCGATAAGGCTTTTAATTCGATAAATTATCGATTAATTGCAATTTCAAGCAGATATAATGATATCTTAAAGCAATAAATACAAGAATATATCATATATATCTACTATATTCTGACTATTGTATCCATCAGATAGCAGATAGCGATTGATACGCTTAATTTTCTGTTATCAATCGTTTGAATGCACATTCCTACACTTTTGTAAGGCACTGTAGTGCACTGTCTAAATGGGGGAAAAAAAAACTAAAACATGACTAATCCGTAAAGGTAACAAAAGTGAATATTACTACACACAGATACGCAGATACACACACACACTCACAGACACCACGCACAAATCAGCGGCAAATTGTGAACATAAATCTTCCCGGTAATAGGCAGACACACACTCACACACACAAAGATACACAGATACAATGCCAGATAGAAAGAGAGGGCGAGAGGGAGGGCTAAGTGGCAAAGATACAGATACAGGCACCCCCCACCCAATTGAGTAGAAGATGGCAACCAGAGCGTATCGTGAGTTTTTCTTCACTTTTCGCATGATTTATTCAAATTTTCTGGTACGTCATCGCCTTGGTAAAATATCTTGAACACATTTTCCTACCCCATCCATCCTCCCATCTACAAAGTAGACGAACGAAAAGGAGGCAACAAATATTATTTACATATATTGCAAATTCGTATATCTTTCGCAGCAAAACGAGACAATTTGTCGCACTTTATTAGTAATGCCACAGATGCAACACAGCACAGCCCCATTCCCCTCAACGGGAAAACCCGTTTTCAGATGTATCTCGAAACTTGTTTAATCATAATTTTCAGATACACACACACACACACACACACAGCCCCCAAAAGATAGATCATTTTGGAATCTATAGCACAATTTTTGTGTTTAATTTTTACCCCCATTCCCCCCAGCGATTACAAATCAAGTTTTTCCGTATTTTACAACTTGATAAAAATTATTGTTCTTTTGGGGTTCTGCTTGTGGGTTTCGGGATTTCTGAGTTGTGTGTTTTATTAGTATAAATCAATAGTTTTTCGAAAACAGAACTGCTGCTCACGGGTTGCTGGCGCTGGTGCGGGGGTGGGTTGTATATGCCCCTGATATATGGTGTGCCTCAAATATTGGCGTGGGGCAGAATTTATAACGACAGGTGTGCGACGTGCACGACGACGACGACGACGACGAGGACGCCAATCATCAATGATTCGGATGAAATAATCATTTCTTGGTGTATATTTATCTGTGCCCGCCCCACAGTCTAAAGTAATATTTTAATGGGCCATTGGCTATCAAAAATCAGAATTCTGGCCCCCCGAATGACGAGGCGAAATGAAAGAGAGGGCCTCTCATGTGATTAAAAACGTTCATATGGTTAGGCGACAGTTTTGGGTTCTATATTTGTGGATTTGATGAATGGTGGAAGAGTGCGCTATAAAATTATATCATTTTCTGGGGAATCTATCTGTGGCAGTATTTCAGAAACCAGACGGAAAGATATGGATCTAAGCAAATAGTTACGGATAGATTTTAGTTCTTAAAGTATGAAAACTTCTAGAGGATAATTTCTAACAAATTTCAAGAATCGAAAACTCGTTTTGAGGCTTCTCTTCCAACTTCCATCTAGAATAGTTTTCACAGCTCTATGGACTATCTCCAGATGGATCTAATTATCTTTTATTATGGCTTTCAGTTTGGTAATAACCAAGAAACTATATACGAACAGCTGTTTGTACTAAAGAACTACAATCAAATCACTTTTAGAGGATCAGAAAAAATGTACTTTAAATCGGAACGAAATGATAGTCCATATAATTGATAGGTTTTGATATATTTTTCCCCTCCTAGATTACTTTTAAAATTTGTTTAAAAACGATAAAATAGCTACATCTTTTTGCAATTTAATAAAACTCTTTCTTAATACATATCTCTCGATTATCGTCGTCGTCATCCAAGGGGCTTGCCCCCTAGTCTTTCTATATATTCGCTAGTAAACGTCTTTGATTTAGTTGGAAACGTATAGAATGAAATTCCAATAGAAAGAGTTCGTCCCTTATTTTCAATAGAACTCTACACATAGTTTTCCCGTTTCAATTCTCCACTAAAGGGGATTCCCTATAGGTTTTTCCAAACAATTCTCCCCCTATAGTTTTCTGGACCAAATCATAGCCAAGTAATCGTCCTCTTTTCAACCCCAACTATAAGACGTCTAAATTAAACATATATTCTAAAACTATTCACATCTATAACTTTATGAATCTCCAAACTAAATCTACCAAAAATCTACCCCAAATGTCCCTAAATTCCTTTTAGAAGGCTATTATAATCGTATCTCCCAAAAATGCCAAACACTTACCCGGCATTTAGCGCCTGTCTGTAGATCTCGAGCATCAATGCCTCGTGCAACATGTTGAGATTTTGTTGAATTTTGACGGTTTTGATAGAGAACTTTGCAGCAGTATGTTCTATATCCTGGCTAACAGGATTTGTCGATCAGAACTTATTCGTAATTTGACACAATATTCATAAATTTTTGTTTTGTTTTGTTTTTTGCACTTGGTACGTTTTTTTCGTATAGAATTTGTTTTGTTGTAGCGTATAACTTTGTTTGGATTTTCCGATATATATATATATATATATATATTTGTTTTATTTTATATATCGTATGGCAGACAAAAATGTAGGTTTAAATATTTTTGTTTTTAAATTTAATTTAATAATTGCATTGAATCGTATACTTCGTTAAGGGTTTTTTTTGTTGTTTGTTGATTTTTACATTATTTTGTTGTTTGAATTTTGTTGTGAGCAAAATATTGTTAAATATACTATATATATTTTTGTAGTTTGTTTTAAGTTTTAGTTTAATAAATATATTTGTGGGGTATAATAATTTGTTGTATTTGTATTTGTATTTGTTTTTGTTTTCGTGGTTTGTTTTTTACGTATACTTTGTTGAACCATTTGTTGTAGTTGTTTGTTTTTTTGTTGAATAATTTTGTTGTTGTGCTTGGGTTTTTGTTTCAGTCTTGATCAAACATTTGAAGCGCATTTCATGTTTGATGAACTTTTCAACTCAATTTTTGACTAGATATGATGGTAGGACTCTCTTCTTTCAAAAATACTCTTAATTATTATTACGTTTCGTATCACACTTGCATTTTTGAATATTTTTCTTGTGGCTTGAATGGCGTTCAAAATTCATTTTTCTCCTTTGCTTCTCTCGCTTTTCTGTTGTAATATTACTGTTAAATTTCTTGGGAACACGCGAGTCGCGCGTCGCGTGTACGTATACGAGATGTATGTTGTATGTGTGCGTGTATGAGTGTGTTCCGAGTTACGGATTCCTCGTCGTTACTCGTTTGAGAGTCCGAATTCGAATGAATTCTGCTGCCGCTTCTGCTGTCGGCCTGCCACTGCTGTGCCTCGCGTCGCGCTTCTTCGGCTCTGCTACTGCGCTGCTGATGGCCCTCTGCCGTGTGTGTGTGTGTGCGTGTGTGTGTTGCTCGGGTGAGTGGGAGGGGTGGGGGCTGTCACTCTGATTCAGTCAAGAATCAGACGCGTCGCGTCGCTCGCGTCGTCGGTTGCGTTCTTCTCTGCCCCCCCTCTGCCGCTGATTGATACCAAAAAAATGAAGTTCAAAGCGCGACGGCAGCGACGCGCACGTTTCGTTTTGTCTGCTGCGCGACTGTTGCTGGCGCTGCCTGCTGCTGTGCTGTGCTTCGCTTCTGCTCCCTGTTTTGGAGCTGCTTGGATGCTGTGCTGGGGCTGCTGCTCTGCTTGCTGCTGACTTTGTTTTTTTTGTTTGTTTTTTTGACGAGAGACGACAAACGTTCGTTAACACGAAGCCCGCGTTTTGGCGACGGCAATTTTGATTCGATTTGCGTTAAGCGACGGCGCAACGCAGTCGGCGCAGTATGACTGTGTTCGTGTGTGTGTGGGTCGACAGCGCTGCGTGTTGATTACTTTTGCTGCCTTTTCTTTTTGTTACCGTTGTTCCGTTTCCACTCTCTTACACCACCCACTGAAAGCCGACAACTGACGTGAGACGTGATTAAATTGTGCGCCTATCTCGCTCGCGCACAGTAGCAGCGCTGCTCAGGGCTCTCTGCTAATTAATTACTGTTTACTGTGCGAAGGCAGCGACGTAGCGTGGCGTTTACCCTTTTTTACGTACTTTTCGGGCACTGCGATTGTGAGAGCTTACGCGCCGCAAAGCTTTTCAAACATGATCACGCTGTAACGGTCCGCTGTGGACTGAAGAACAACTACAAAAGCCCGCTTGATATTCGCTCTCTTTTGCGGCAGAGAGAGATAGAGAGGGAGCACAGCAGAGAGAGAGCGCACATGCAAGCGAGAGCATGCGCACCAGCAATATCAGTTTCCCCTTCGCACCAATTGGTGATAAATCTTCTCGAATGAATGGGAATGGAACGCAGGGGAAATGACTGCCTCTCTCGGAGAGCGAGAGAGAGAGAGAGGCTGTCTGCGTGTGTGTGTGCGTGCGTGTGAAATCTGTTTTGCCGCCTTTCGTCAGCCTTCCCGCTCTTTCGTATCACCCTTTCGTATGCCCTATACTCCTACGATTCCGATTCCATCACTCCGCCGCAATTAAGATTTATGACAGTTCAAAACAAATTTTCTCGCTCGCATGCGCTGGCCTGCTCACACCTCCCACTCCCCTGCCATTCAGTTGTACAATACATAGACGAGAGGTATATACATATGTACATACATATGTATGTGTAGGTGTCTCTCGTTCTAATTTGTTGCTGCGACGTCGCTGCCCTCTGCTGCTGCAGCTGTCGCGCTTTCGACATTTTGTCTCTCTGTCTGACATTCGTTTCGCTTCTTCTTCTGCTTATTTTTGCAATGCGCGGGTGCTTCTCTGTGTGTGTGTGCGTGTGTGTGTGTGGGCTGCAGAGGGAATGACAATGTAAAACAGCTAAATAAATAGCGGTAATAGAAGCGAGTGGAAGAGAGAGAGGGAGAGTGGGTCGAGGGACCAGCTTCCAAGTTGTTGCTTTTGAGCTTTTCGTCCTCGTCAATTTGAAGCGTGACTCTCTCTCCATCTCTCTCTGTCGTTCTCTTCTCGGATAGGACTGGCGGCGGCTCCTTCTGCATCTTCTTCTGCTGATTGTCATCCCCCATCCCCATCCCTTTCTGCAGTCACTTGACATGTCACTCTTTGTTTTGTCTTTTTTCTCTCACTGCAGTTTTCTTTTGTCTCCTTTTCGTCGTCGTCGTCGTCGTTGTCGCTCAAGGGGTGGTGGTTGCCCCGGGGTTGGGGGTGTGTTTTTCTGGTGCGTGTGGCACTGCACTTGGATGGAAAAAAACTTGAAGAAGTTTTTCCCTTTTTGGCTTTTGGCTGGAAAAACAATTAAATTAGCGGCACTTGGACTTTGGGCATGAGGGCTGTAATTTTCTTTTGAGAGGCTGAATCTGTAAAATGTTACATTTTTACGAGTTCAAGATGGATTCTATGGGTCGAATTTCGTTTTCAAAAGTTGCTGATGTGATTTATGAGGAAATTATGTTGCAATTTATGCTTTAAATATGTTTTTTCGAGAGGGAAAATCAGGAAATAGGCCTTTGGAGGGCAGAAGAGTATGGGTTTGCTTTAAAATTATGATGGGAAATCAAGAAACTCAGAAGAACTGGGGCTATTCCATCGTATTATTATGCTACAGCGCTTCCTCCTCCTCCAATGACTATTCTAATTGTGTTTATTCTAATGGGTATTCCTCTATTCCCCACTCAAGACAATCCCCCATAATGCCAAAATTATGATCCATTAAGAGAGCTGCTTGAAAAGCTTACATTTATCTGGGACTTAGAAGCCATCGAATGATGCCCGGCTTGACGAATGCCTGGAGAGCCATAAAAATGGATGCCATCGATGACGAGTGGAAAATGGTGGACAGCTCTCGTGTGTGCTTCTTCAACGGCTGTCCGGTGTGATTTTATTGGCTGAGAGCGGGAGTCCTGGCCTGCTGACTGCACTTGTTGCTCCCAAAAGGAGCCATCGTCAGCCCCAGTCCCACTTAATGCCCCCGACGGTCGAGGGGCGAATGAATCGTAAAAGTTTTTACGATTTACCAATTAACCGATAATAATCAAATCACTTGGAACCCACTTGACAGACAGAGACGGGGCCCAAGGAAAGAGAAAGAGCACAGCACAGCCATTGCTTCTGACGGTTCTCGCCTGCCAACACTCCTGTAAAACTGAGACAGAGAGAGAGAGAGAGAGGGAGAGGGAGAGCCCCCCACTGATGAGGTCCCTGGTGGTAATAAATACTTTTACGATTCTATAATTTGATTTGGGCATTTCCTTTTTTTATTTAATATTTCTTCTTCTTCTGCCACTTTGACAGAGAGATCTCTCCTCGAGAAGGCCTTCGGTCTATCGCATCTTTTGTCGCCGCCGCCGCCGCGGCCGCTCTCGCAGAACATTAATTTTTTTATGTGTTCGAGATCGTAAAATTCCGTTTGATAAATTATTATTTGGAATTCTTCTTCGATTCGATGCTAAAGGTATCCGCTGGATACGCAGGCATCCACGAGCATAATCTCTGTGTGGATTCTGCATATTTTAGAATGCCACAAATCTAGTTTTCCCCCGTCCGCCGGGAGAGGTTTTGATTAGTAGAGAATTATGATGATTGCTTCAGTGTATAAATATTGTTTGAATAGAAATTGTGTGAAGTTTTCCGAACATTTGGGAGGGGAAAAGCAGAGGAGGAAGCCTGAGAAACTACCTTAATTTTACATGAAAGCTTTCTTTTTCTTCAAGCCAAAAATGACCAAAAAAGAATTGCACGCTTTTATTTTTCAAATTGATGGCAGAACACAGACAATCAAAAAGCTTAAAAACTCATTAAGCAGATGCTTAAATGCATAAGGAAAAAATTTGAATATCCAACAAAAAAATATATACACAAAAAAGATCCCCGAGAATCGCGAACAAAACGTATTATAAAAGAGACTTTTTGGTGAACGGCATTCGTCATTGTCCGAGTGTCAACGCTTCCGTTCCAAGCAGAACCCAAGCAAAACCAGAACACAGATACAGATATACTATATCTGCAAGATACGTATCTGTATCTGTCGCCCACGAAATGGCGCGGGCTATGAGTTATTTATTTGGAACGATCTGCCCAAAGATTTTGATCGCAGCATTGCCTTGGATTTATTTTTAATGGCGGATTTCATGGGGCCAAGGGATTAACCCGTACCGTTGAAATTTTGATTCATGGACCAACCGTAAATCTCCAGGCTGATATATCACAAAAGATATTTCTATATATATATATTATTGATCCCCATAAAGCGGTGACCACACGTGGGGGCACTCTTTTTCGGGTTTATTATTAAACTAAAATCCAATTCCAATTTTTGCGCCAAAACTCGTCTGCGATTGGTATTTATTAATTCGATAAATCAATCAAATAAATTACAATTAACAAAAACTCATAAAACTGAA